ATGGAACAGTTACACCATATTCAAACGGAGAACTAGGACAAGAATAACTCGTTGTACAACTAGTCAAAGGAGAGGAGAGTTATACAACAAATCAAAGAGGAGGAGAGTAGTACACCAAGAGTAAGGTCAGTATCAAGACAAGTAAAGATGAAGATGAAGTAAATCAAAAGTTGAATTCAATGGACCAAGAGCGAAGAAAATAAGAAGATAGAGTTGAAGAGTCCAAAGAAGTTGCAAGAAAATAATGAAGACGTATGAAGACTGCATGGGCGGTATTTTTGCCAAAAGAGGATCAAGAGTGGAATCAAGAAGTACGAAGAGAGAATTAAGCGACTGGTGTCAAGTGTGGTTATAATAGAAGAAGTTGATGTCAAGAAGAAGCTGTCTAATACAACCAAAGTAAGGAGAAGAGAATTGTCGGAGTTTATTTGATAAAGGAAATTATCAAGTACTCGAGACTAAACCAACCACAAGAAGAATCAGGGATGAGTAGGGCTACATCAGGAGATGAAGACTTGAAGCAGAGACTGAACGGAGAGTGGTATTTAGGAGAGATCATGAAGTATTGAAGAAGAACAGATGGATCGAAGCGAGTGAATGATCTTGTCACCAGGACATGATCTAACACTCAAAGGAGATCTTAAAAGAAGAGAGACAAGGAGAGAGTCTGAGAACAGCGATACAAGATATGATCAACCGAAAGCATAGAGGAGATCAGAGGAACTAGCCATAATCTAGTAGAATTCGGGGACGAATTCTTTTATGGGGAGGAGAATGTAATACCCCTGACTATGACTAGAAATCAGACGGAAGGCCGCGAACGTAGAAGTGCGACCGTGACTTAGAAAATTTTTCGGAAAGAAAAATTGAATAAAGCCGTGGGTAAATCATCAAACTTTACCGGAAGGATCGAAGACTGAAGGAAGTTTACCGTAGATGTTCAAGATCAGAGTAGTAGTGAATTGAGAATTTATCGGTTAACGCTAAGTATGAAGAAGACTAGAATCGGCTACAACATTGGGCAGTTAAGGCTATCGTCGAAAATTATATTTTCACCAAGGAGATTTATTTACGGGAAATTGGTTGATGGAAAGATCAATTTTCCGAGGAAAATGAAAGAGTGATGTTACGTGGAGAAAGTTTTTATCAAAGGAAATCAATTTTAGCGAAGAAAGAGTAATTTTGGGCCGAGACAAGCAAGCGGTGATCGAACGGAATCGGATACGGAGACAACAAGATTTAATGGAGTAATTAAATGACTTAGTCATTTATTTTTAGATTTGTCGAAGTGGAATAGGTAATGATCATTGTGAGCGAACGGTGGTCGGAGAGCTCTCGGTACGAGCGTGTACCGTGAGCGAATGGAACGAGTGGTCATGGAGGCCATGTCGTAGACGTGCTTGTGGCATAAGCAGCTGTGCCACGAGCTGGAGCGTGTTTTGCGTGAAGCACCACACGCTCGGATAAGGATAAACATGGATAAAGATAAGGATAAGCCTTATCTTTTCCTTAGCTTCCACGCCAAGCAACCGTAGCTTGTACTCCAAGTTACTATAGCTTCCTCCCCAAGTTTCCCTACCCTATATAAACCCACGAGATCCCATTCATTATTTCTCACACCAAAAATCCACCTTAAACCGTTAGTTAGTTCGAGAAGCTTGTCGGAGTCCGAGTCGGGTAGAAGTTGGTGGAGTCGAGAGTTGTAGTCGGGTAATCCGGTAAGTAGTTCCGCCTTTAGTCTTTATTCTTTTTAGAATATTTTTTCTAAATTTTGTTTTCGGTCCGACGCTTAGATCCATCGTTAGTACGCGTTGGAGATAGCTCGGTCGGATCAAAATTATTAGGCGGTCAAGGGTAGAGTTTTATTCTCTCGACAATAAGGCCAAGGTGAGTTCCGTAGCGAGTGTAGTAGCACACGACTAGGTTTTATTTTTGGGTTTATGATGGTTAGGCATGAGGTTGCATTTTTATACTTAGTATAAATTATGTATAAATTATGGTTAGCTGGTTATATGTTTTGACGTATAATTGGGTTGATTATTTTAGATAGATCTCGCATTCTTGCTTGATTTATTTCTGGTAGTTGCATGATGTTGAATATTGTTTGGGTGTTGGTAATTTTTATTACGAATTTAAATTATTAGCAAGCATGTTAGGTTGTTTGATTGTTGAATGATTGATTGTTGAATGATTGATTGTTGTTAGTTAATCTTGCATTAGCTCGATTAACATATGTGTAGTAGGTGCTTGCTAGTAGATCTTATTACGAGTAGTATTGAGGTTTAATCCGCTCGTAGTAAGTAGTTATTGTTACTCATTTTTCTTATGACTATAGTATGGAATTGTCTTGATTGTCCCAATAGCTCGGAATGGCTCGCTACCACCCGAGGCTGCCTAACGAGGTAGTAAAAATTTGACCGTAAGAGATGTGATCTCTTATAAACGGTTTGGTTTGGAGAAGGGATGTTTGATCCTTCTAGCCTTTGTGGCTAAAGGTCGGAGAAACGTTGCCCAGTGGGCGATCAACATCGTATATGGCCCGTAGAATGAGGAGTCGTTAGCATGCTAGTTGTAGTTTTAGTAGTAGTTCCGCTGCATGTACTCTGTATTGAGTACTTTTGTTTGTATACACTTTTCTAAGTGTATTTGTGTGATTTCTTGTCGAGTATACTCGTGTGTTGCATTGATTGCTTGTTTGGGGTTGGGATTGGGATTATTATTATTTGTTAGAAAACCGGACTCACTGAGTAATCTTAGATTACTCATGATTCAACCTTTTGTTTTACAGGTAACCTTAGTTGGGAGACCAAAAAGGGGAGCACGGACGTTGGGAACCGGTGTAGAGTTTGTTGTCTTTGTAAAATAGGGATTTGTAATAATTGACTCGATTTGAGCCTTAGGCTCGAGATCCCAATCAATTGTAAGTGTTTTCAATGTTTTATTGAATAAAATGAGATTTCTTTAAAAGCCTTGTGTATTACTGATATTAGTCTTGTCCGGACTAACACAACTTGCGGACATGGTACGGGATAAAAAGACTTAGGCCGTGTCCGTGAGGAACGACACCCGCGGATGGACTGACCTTGGTATAGGATGTGTTCTAGGAACTCGGTCGGATCGTCTACGGGTGTTGTACGTAACACTCCCGGATCGTTCTTAGTCCTAGGACGGTTCGGGGGTGTTACAGGCACCACTTGCGTTGTGTTCGATGCATTGGCAGAATCTTTCCGATGTTTGTTGAACCATTCAGAAAACTTCTCCAATATCGCATCAATCATCGGTAATTGATGGTACTTCCTTACTTCCCTAAACATAGCGTTCATTGACTATGCGGAGTTGCTAGTATCTATGCTGTACTTGTCTCCCTCAGCATGACTCCTAGCCCATTTTTCAATCCCAATAGAATTATCCAGATATTCAGCAGCTCTAGGATACCTTCTCCTAAAATCACCATACTGAATGTTGAACTCGGTCTTAGTATATATATGAGCGCATTCCTTGAATTTGTCAACACCTACGTCCTTGTCCCCAGTCAACTTTGGCCTAAGGTTTTGGGACAAATGCCATATACAATGACCATGTGATGCATTTGGAAACACATCCATCACTCCCTTGATGATGCTTTGATGTCTGTCGCTTATGAAAACCAAACCATCTTCATCTGGTACTACCTTTCTCAACATTCTGAAAAACCAATTCCAACTAGCATGATTCTCACTATCAATTACACCAAACGCAATGGGGTAATGGTGACGATTAGGATCCTGAGCTGTTGCAATAACGAACATCCCACCATATACAGTTTTCAAAAATGTTGCATCAATCATTAACACTTTCCTCATTTCCTTAAACCCTTCAATGCTTGCGCCTAAAGTGATAAATAGGTACTTGAACCTCTCTTCTTCATCCAATTCCATTTCCGTTACTGTCCCAGGATTCACCTCTCTTAACATGTGGAGATAAGCAAACAACATCGTGTAGCAAGCTCCAGGGTTCCCACCCATATCACTAACATGTTGTTTTTTCCCTCTCAAGGCGGTGGAGTAGGAACAATCCAAACCAAGTCTTCCTTTAACAAGACTCATGATAGTTTTAGGATCCGGTGTTTCCAATTGACCACGGAAGTCCTCATGCAAAACACTTGCTACTAATCGAGGTGTGCCTTTTTGGTTTAAAATATCTAGTACTCTCCTTACACCTAGAGCATCTATGCATTTTTTGTGAACTCTTACACTCCAAAAATCAGATTTCTTTATTCTAGCAACTCTTATAAATACCATTCACAACCCATGGAAGCTTGACTGCATTCAATCAGAAGTCACATCGGGTCCGACTTCACACATTTCACACCAAACAAGTTTGCCTTTGCAGCTCTATTAACCAAATCCCATACTGCCTCCTTAGAAGGAAATTCTTGATCTTTTTCCAGATCCATACCATCTTTCCATTCTTTAACTGTTTCCTTACTTAGTTGTACAGGCCGTGAAAGCTCAACATATTCATGCCTAACATCATTCTCACAGGAATCTTCCGTTTGTCGTCGGCGGGGAAATGACGACAGAGATCTCGATTGGAGCGATTCTTCTCACAGCTCGATTTCATCTCGATTTTTGTTTGTTTTTTGTTTTAAAATTAATTCAATTTCTCCAAATAATTAATTAAGGGTATAAGGGTATAATCCACTCTATGGTGGCATAGAGACTCTAAAATGGCATGCCTGATTCAAATTTCCGGTTCAGTGGCAAACTAGCCCGTGACTCCCTAAATATAGATAGTGTAACTGATCAAACCGAAGTGAATAAACCAAATTGTTCGTTTAAGCCCAGTATTAAAAAAAAAACTACAATGAAGAGATATGGGCTAATGATGGTTTAAGGCCCAACATAATAATAAAACGAGACCTCCTCCTTTTCTCTAATTCACAACGGCCAATAGAAATGACGCTCCTCTTTCTTTAGTGGGCCTCTTTCGCCTAATTTTTTTTTTTTTTTTTTTCTCCCATGGAGCGTTATTGATTTTCTTCGGAGATCGTCATCGCCATCGCCAGGTTTTGAATTTTTAGGGTTTCTTTCGATTTTATGTTTATTTCAGATCCAGAGCTCTCTTTTGATTGCGTGATTTTGTGTTTTTCTTAGATTTCCAAATTTCGATTTTACTTTGTTTTATCAAAGCAAATCGATAAAACTCTTTTTAATTTCAAAATTTCATGTTGGTTCTGCAGTTTCGTATTTGCGTTTTTCTATTTCGTGAAACCAAAATCACCTTTTTTTTTTTTTTTTTTTTTTTTTTTTTTTTTTTTTTTTTTTTTTATCGTTGTGTTCGTCAAAGATTTTACCTTTGTTGTTAGAAATTAGGGTTTCTAATCGAAAGCCCTCTTTTACATCAGTGATTTCTTTAGTGTGAAGGTTTCTTAATTTGGTTCTTGTTAGGGTTTCTGATGAAGACACGTTTTAAAGATTTTTTAAAGATTTGTTTACGTTTTTATGGATTTGTAAAACCTCCGCAGATTCGATGACTGGCCTGTCACAGAGTTCTTCCTCTCCGATCTCATCAACGCCTTGGCCTCATCATGAGAGCTTCTAGGTACACTTTTTTTTTTTCTCCAATTGATATCTCTTTTAATGGTTTCGATTTTGTTTCTTTCGATCTCTGTCAGCTAGAGGCACAAGAAGCTGGGGTATTGCTGCGATGAAGATCAAAGGCTTCTTGTTGCAGAGTTCATGCCAAATGATACTCTTGCTCAGCTTTTGTTCCATCGTATGATTCATCCTCTTTTTCTCTTCTTTTGTTTTCACATTTAGCAGTTGGGGAATCTGAGGTTAAAAAGGCTGCATTGTTGGTTTATTTGACATGATTTTGTGTTAAAGATGGTGTTAATGTATATGCTTGTAGAATCGATATTGATCAGAACTTGATACAAATCTCTGTTTTTTGAAGTTCTGTTTCTGTTGTGATTCACAGAGATAAACCAAACCATGGAATGGTCAGTGACGTTGCGAGCGGCATGTCATGTAGCCGAAGCATTAGATTATTGTAGCCATCCAAGTTCTGTTTGATAAGGTATACATTAAAACATATTTCCATGAACGTGCCTATAGCTTCTTAATGATCTATGGATGCTAAACTGTTTTATATTGCATAATGGATATGTTGAAGGATGATGATGCATGTATTTCCTGTTTCTGTTTAGTGAGGGAGATCATCGATTATGATCAAATAACAACAGGTAACCAATTCCTACTTCTCTCGTCAGAATGATTATTCATGTTATTCACATCTAAATGTGATGTTTATATTCTCCTTGTAGGAAGTGTGAACCCTGAGACTGTGACATACAGATCTGGTACTATACTTGTGAATCTGCTAGATGGAATGCACATTGCTCCAAGCCATGTAAGTGATTCTGTTTAAGCCCTCTCCTCTCTTGAATTTGTGATTGTAATCATTAGATTCTCTGTCATTGTCAATGTCTTGCAACACAAGCCAAATACAAAAGCGAGTTTTTCTTCAGTTTTAGGGTTTGGTCGATTCGTGATTGTTATTTTCCTAAATTTCGAACCTCTCTTTTTCAAAATCAAAAATTCGATTTGGTTTTTCATCAAGCAAATACGAAAGCCTTCTTTTCTTAGTTGTGTTATTGCATCTTAAGGTTTTCAATTTCAAAACTTGCGTTTCGCTTTAAAGATTTTACGTTGTTGTTTCAAATTGGGTTTCTGATTGTTTTGTTTCTGCAAATCAAAAGCCCTCTTTTTGCTTTGTGTTTTTTTCTTTTTCGAGGGGTTTTTTTTATTTTTCTTGATTATAGTTTTCTTAAATTTGAAACCTTTTCTGCAAATTCAGAGTTTCGATTGATTTTTTTATATATTTTCGTAAATCAGAAATCCCTCTTTAGAATTCCTGTTTTGTTCTGTTTCGAGGGATTTTTACTTCAAATTTTTGTTTGTCTAAAGTTTTATGTTTTCTTCAAACCCAAAAGAAAGGGACTACACATTATATGATTGTGTATGTCCTAACTTGGGGAGATGTTGCCTATGTTAAACAAGCAGGATGTGATCAAAATCTGTAAGACTTGTAAAATTATATTAGACAAGCAAGATTTTATTGAAATCTGTAAGGCTTGTAAAATTATGTAAGACAAGCATCATTTTGATTGAAATCTGTAAGTCTTGTTAAATTATGTAATGCAAGCATCATTTTGATTGAAATATGTAAGACTTGTCTAATTATTTAAGACAAGCATCATTTTGATTGAAATCTGTAAGTCTTGTGTAATTATGTAAGACAAGCAAGATTGGATTGAAATCTGTAAGTCTTGTTAAATTATGAAAGACAAGCAAGATGAGATTGAAATTTGTAAGACTTGTCTAATTATTTAAGACAAGAGATTTTGATTGCAATCTGTAAGACTTGTTAAATTATGAAAGACATGCAAGATGAGATTGAAATCTGTAAGACTTGTCTAACTATGTTCAAAGATTGGATAATTGAATCTAATCGATATATTGCTGGCTGGGCAGCATAACTTCAAGTTTCTGCATAGAACTGCTTTCATTAAGGCTTTTCTAATGATGTCCTAAGAAGGATAAATTCAATGATCTGCTTATTGATGGGGATAAAACTCAATGATCTGCTTATTTGATCGAGATAAATTCAATGATCTGCTTATTTGATGGAGATAAATTCAATGATCTGCTTATCGATTTGGATAAATTCAATGATCTGCTTATTTGATGGGGATAAAACTCAATGATCTGCTTATTTGATGGGGATAAAACTCAATGATCTGCTTATTTATGGGGATAAAACTCAATGATCTGCTTATTTGATGGAGATAAATTCAATGATCTGCTTATTTATGGGGATAAAACTCAATGATCTGCTTATTTGATGGAGATAAATTCAATGATCTGCTTATTGATTTGGATAAAACTCAATGATCTGCTTATTTGATGGAGATAAATTCAATGATCTGCTTATTTATGGGGATAAAACTCAATGATCTGCTTTAAAACTCAATGATCTGCTTATTGACGGAGATAAATTCGATGATCTGCTTATTGACGGGGATAAATTCAATGATCTGCTTATTGACGGAGATAAAACTCAATGATCTGCTTATTGATGGAGATAAACTCAATGATCTGCTATTCTGCTTATTAATGGAGATAAATTGTCTTTTATAAGACTTGTCTAATGAATTCAGATTGGGGAATTCAGTTGTATGGATGAAAAAGCATAAAAACATGTAGTTAATCCTTTCTGCCTAGCTCTTGAAGCTATTCCTGTTAGCGAAGGCACATCATTGTGCAACGCTTTATGGGTCAGGCTCGAGCAAGGCACTAAAGAGAAAGAGAGAGATGACGCACTAAAGGCAAATCAATATACATCTTACTGAGAAATGATATTCATTGGGACATCATGTTCTAATTTTCAATATTCTGCATAAAAAAAATCTTAACTTGCAGACTGTATCTTTCCCTCTTTTAATCAGGTAAGTGTCTCTTTCGTCTTTTAAAACAAGGTATAATCTTCATAATATTTTTCCTTGATGGATTTTGTAGTTCGTTAATTGATTACATCTTTTGATCACGTAGTCTTTTATAACTATTTGACTATGAGTGATTATTTATCTATTTTTTTTAGCTTCAGAAGACCAAGAACTGGAGTGTGTATACGTGATCGTTCTCAGGTTCAACTTCTCTCCCTCGGTTTGAAATATTATAGTTTGAATACTTATAGTAGTAGCATTTTGGTAAACTCTGGTGCACAAGAAGATTAGATGAATGAACAGGTAGGTATTCGTATCCTATAACTGCTTGTTTATAAGAGAGAATTTAATTTTATATATGAGTCCTATATCTGCTTGTTTATAAGAGAGAATTTCATCCTTATAAGATTTCTTCTCTCTGTCCCTGTTTCAGCAACTTTTGGAGTGTCTCCAAAAGAAAGCTTTGGTTTCTCAGGTACGTCCTCTGTATATTGCTTTGATATGTAATTGTATTAATTAGTGGTTGCGTTTAGCTTTTTGTAGTAGTTGCATGAGTTCGTGTACATAGATAAGATGTAAGCATGAGTTCTTGCAAGTTTTATTTATGTCAAAAACTCTTAATCGTACATTTTTTTTTGTCAAAGTCTCTTAATCGTACATCTGATATGTTTTTCAAATAAGGCATCTTTGGTGGTAGTGTAGTGTACATGAATTCTTTTATCAATATGATAGTGTTGTTGCTTGCGTTTTAATTGTTTTAGTGGACAATGTTCGATTTTTTAACCGGAAAATTTAGCAGGTTCTGATCAGATAATTTGTTATCCCTTAACCAAAGTTGTGATTCATATATTGTTTATGTTGTTGCAAAGTTGAGATCTCATGATTTTCCAACGTTCAATGATTTCTTTTTGTCTTACTATACTAATTTATGGTTTATATCAAACTTGCAGGAACTAAAGGGTTATTATCTCTCCAAGTCCACGCGATTCTAAACATTTGACTTTGCCATCCACGCGATTCTTCAATGATTTCTTTTTGTCTTACTATACTCATTTATGGTTTATATCAAACTTGCAGGAACTAAAGGGTTATTATCTCTCCAAGTCCACGCGATTCTAAACATTTGACTTTGCCATCCATTTGTGGTCTAAAACCTCATTCTCTTCTTTGAAACCAAAGGTATAGCCTATAATCATCTTGAGGTCCCTACTTACATCTGGTACAGTTTTTTTTTCAGCCTTCAGATATATTTTTAAGCAAAGCATAACTCTTTGATTCTTCAATCAGAGGGCATGATTGGAGCTTTTGTGGCGTGCGTCGTCTTCAACACTCTTATTTCCAAGTAAGTAACTTTCTAAGTTTACTTGAGACATATATGCATGAACGTTTTTAGATATTTTGGTATTGTTGGCTTTGGTTTATTTCTCCTTTGGCTGTGTTTTTTTTTCTAGGTGGATTAATGTTTCCTTTAGAATACCAAACCTCAATTAAAGCACCCACATCTTTAGAGCACACTGATACAAATAATCGCATAACACGAACACATACTAAACGTAAACATACACACAAAAGTAACTTTTGTGCTCACACTAATACAAACATAAATGCATTACACGGACACATACTCTAAACGTAAACATAACTTTTGTGCTCACACATGAACTTACTAACTTATTTTAATGCAACACAATTGGAAATGCAATTGTTTATGTTGTATGATGAACGAGTGCTAAACAGAAGTTTATGAAATTACTTACTAACCCTCTGTTTATATAAGAGGCTTATGTACAGTTTTTCATTAGTCTTAAAAGTCTCGGTACGACTTCATTTTTCAATTTGTGACATGGAATCAGAGCCGTGAAAAAGCTCTCTTTCATTCACACATTTTCTCTTTGATTCCTTGGAACTTTTCCAAGAATCACTCTCTATTCTATAATCATATATAGGATCCATTCAGATTCGGTTCTTCGGTTCTTGAGATTTCGGTCTCATTCGCGTAATTTTTTGGTTCGGTTTTGGTTCCGGTCCTTTCGGGTCCGGGTTTGTTACTTTTTACTCGAAATTATTCAAAAGTAACCTTAAACCCGAAATTACCTGAAATACTTAAAACAAATTGTAACTGTATCAACCAAATATACCCAAATTACCTTGAAATTAGTCATGGCATAATCCGTTTAAACCGAACCCAATAAACCGACGATTTTGACTTTCGGTTTGAAATTGATTACTGTTGTAAACCGATCGGCAGAATTTTAAATTGATTTTGGTTTTCTAGTTTTTCGGTTCGGTTCGGTTCATCAAAACCGATCAGTATTTCAGTTAAAGGAGACACCTTATATTAACAGAAAACCCTAGATCTATCACTTCATATGTTTGTTTTCTAATCTCTCCTTCTCACGAACCCTTCTTTTCTCCTCTTCGACAAACCCTCTTTATCTTTGACCTTCTAATCCTTCTTGTTGGTGTCGGATCTCAGTATTCGCCCAGCCCGGAGGGAAAATGGTTTATCGTAAATGGGCCGCAAGATCCTAAATGGGCTGAGAATTGTAAGCGAACTGTAAGAAATGGCTGAGATGTCATAGCCCTTATCGAAGTTGAAGGGCATTCCCCAATGCGTGTAACAGACAAATCTTCCGAGCCATAATGAAGAGACGTTGATTGCGGAAAAATTAAATAAGTCCGTTCTGCGGATTGT